ATGCAGCCTGTTCAGCCATGTAGAGATGACCAGGAGCTGAAGCAGGCTAGGTCCTGGCTGTCATGGAGCCTGGGGTTAAGCCAGGGAGTTCCAGGATGAGTGATGTGTACTTCATTTGAGGAGGCAGGAGAAGATCAGAACCTCTACTCACGGTTTTTAAAATAAATCTCATTCTTCTGAATTATTTGTATGTTTGGTATGTTTCATTTTTACACATAGGGCATGTGACCAGAGAACTTCAGTAAACGTCAGGAAGCATGTCAGATGGTCATGTGATGGGATGCAAACTACTGACACATCAAGTGCCACATGTACCTTCTTCTCCCAGGGCTGCACTTAGCACCCTGCCCCCAATGGTGGGAGGGGGGTGGGAGGCTACACCCAGTGAAAGCCCCATCTACAGCAGTTCAGCCTCAAGGCCAAGAAAGGGGAAAAGCATAGAAAAGCACAGTTAAGAGCCACACTGATCCACCTTGGGACTTTTCTGTTATCAAAATTTAAAGCTTTAATGTTCATATAATGTCAGAGCCTTTAAAAGGTGGTGGTTCAGTGGGAGACTAACACATACTATACTCTAAGGAGTTGTCAGGCTTTTGGGATAAGAACTTCACTGAAGTTATGTTCAAATCCTGGAATAACCAGGACACTGAGAATCCAGTCCTACCAGTCTTTAGACCACCATAATTAGCAGATGAATCCTTTGCAAGCTAAGTTTTTATCAGAAGTACTGATGGCTCAGGGTCAACCTTTGAGAATCAGGAGGTAGGGGCAGGAGTTTCCCTAGTAGGAAGCCACAGAGGGCTGTGCACATCTGGTCTGTTCCCTTAATGCAGAGCTACAAGCACAATAAAGGTATGTGTTATATAGAGGCATCAAAACTATGCAAAATAGTAAATAATAATTAACCACCACAACAAGGGGAGGCCACTATTGTAATTCTCCTTGCATATGAAGGAAAGGATAAAATACGAAGGTCATTTATTGACTGACAACTTCCACTGTCCCCAGGATTAGCAAATATTTTAATAGCCTTGATAGACACACTACTATTCTCTTGCAGCTCACAGCAGATACCACAATCCATGGATAACTTCAGAATCCTTCTTAACATAGATTTCCAGACAGTCTCAATCAATGAGTATGAGTGTAAGATGAAGCTTATTTATTCCCAATCTAGCTCTCACCCATTCTCCAGGCTCATTTCTTATTATTTTCTTTCCCATCCACTCCATGTTCTGAGGGCTTCTGAGCTTCTCTAGTATGGCATGCTCTTGCAGGCAACTTCACTCTTGTACATGCTAATTGTTCTGTAAGAAAACCAGATTCTACTGAATCTGGTCAACTCCTATCAACACTTCCTGAGTCATTTCAAATATCACCTTCCTTTGGAGACCTTTCTTAACCTAAGTGTAATTAGAACAGAAAACTCTCTTTTCTTCTGTTTACATTATATCGCAACAATCTATTTCCAGGCCCTTCCTGGAATTGTGCCATTCCAGGCTCAATGGATTAAAGCACAGTACTATGAAGCTATATGCAGCCACTGCAGCACAAATTCAATCCCTGGCCAGAGAAGTGACACACATGGTGTGGCAGATCTCTCCTGACCCACCTGCTGCTCCCCTTAGCAGTGTATTTAGGTAGATTTGCCTATTCTGCTCCCTATTTTGTCTCTGGTGAATCTTCCACCTCCATTCCCACACCTCTGGCCTGTATCCCAGTGATTGAATGCATAAATAAATTAATTAAAAAAAAGAATATATTGATTAGGAGGGATACTCATCCCTTCCTAATGAGAATGTGACTATGAAATGAGACCAGGTCTTAGTCATTTTTGCATCTACCCTGGAACTTATTACAGTAGTTAGAACACAGTAGGTATGTCAAAAATACTTAATGAATGGGTATAAGATTGAATAGAGCTAAATGAATGGCATGCTTCTAGTTGTAAATATGTTATGATTAGCATTCATGGTTTCTGCTTATGGAAATAGCTACAACTCCTTTCTTAGATCTCCTTGTCTCAAAAAAGTCCAGATTTCATTGACAAAGGACAATAACATCGAGAAACCTGATGATGATGATAGCCAACATTATTAAACGGTTTTCAATAATTGCTTTCTTTAAGACTTAAATAATTTAAAACTTAGCACAAAGAACAGGGAACAGAGCAATTTTTAAGTATCATTGAAGAGCAGAATAAAGATTTCTTAGTATAAACACTGACACTTTAATCTGTTACCCATAAATATGATACCTATGAAGTACTCTACTTCTCTGGAACGAATTTCAGATACAAAGGCATGAGAGCCAAAGGAAAACTATTGCTTATACACATATTTGGGTTGGGCAGCAAATAACAATTTTTTTTGTCTGATATTATAATGGTTACTGTTAAGATTATCTTAAGACATTTCCTAGTCAAATCTACTTGGGTAAAAGTTAGCACAGAATAGAATTTCCAAGCATTTTAAAGAGTAACCACAAGATTGGAGAAAAAAAATGTGTGAAGAAAAAAAAATTATATTGATGGTTAGATGCTTCTCTTAGAGAATTACAATTCATATGAACATATTTGGGATAAGAAGACTGTGGTAAGAAAAGCTGTTCAGTGAGCCTCTGTAACAGAGTATCTAAAAAAGGGGAGGCTCCATGTTCCCTAGGCCATGGAAGGAAGAAGAGAGCTGAGTGGTGAGCAAGCTAAGGACAGCTTGGGAGAGAAGGCTTGGAGGAGGCACTTGGAACTGTGCTTGCTTCTTGGGTATAGACTTGCGATGGTATTTGGTGTACTTGAAAGGCAGCACTTGAAAGAGAGATTGGTGAGAGACCTGTGGGAAGGCTACCACGGCAGCTTTTATCTTAACTTGTACTTTGATTTTGCTCCTTTTCTTCCAGACATTCCTGGGCCTTTTTCCTTTTTCTTCAGGATCCTTTTGAGAAGGTACATTTGAGCCTCAGTGGCCCTGATTTGGGGTAACTATTTGTACATGTAGCCACAAGGGGATGGACAACTTCGGGTGTTTCATGAGGAAACTATGCCCTTTCTCTTCTCTATTTGCACACTAATTCTATTGAAGGTCTTATGCCTGAAGAATATTGTCCTTATGTGGCAGATAGCAGAACCCATTTAATGTATGCAAGTTTGAGGGTCTCAAGGTACTTACTCTTCATTCTGCTTGCCAACAAGTTCACCACAAATTGTTTTGACTAGCAAATGTTTGATAGAATACTTCATATTAATTTTCATGGAATTAGTGTGGGGAGATATTGGCCTCGGGGGTCCCCAGAAATAGTTCTTTGCACTGGGCTTCTAGTGTTGGGAACATACAAAATGAATTGCTATGAAGACCTCTCTGATTTAGGAAAGGTAAGATTGGTTATGTTTTGGGTCAGAAGAGACTCATGCTTGATACTATCATTTACATGATAAAAATTCAACCTTATTGAAGACTGAGAAGGAAGAGGCCAATTCTTAATCAGTCCTTTGAATTAACAGTTAGTTATTATGGCTGTCTCACACAGTCCTAGGAATTTATACTTTCATTTTATCCCAAAGAAAAACTTGACCATCTTTCTTTAATACTATCAACCTGGAAGCTTGACAGTAAGGATTAAAAATTGCTCCTTCCTTCCCACTTGGTTATTGGAAAGGCTCTGAAAGGTAATCAGTCTTGTGAAGCTACACTTTACAGTCTGCATAAAAATGCCATGATTTCCCTTTCTCTCCCCAACCTAATTGAAAGTGCATAATATCACCCAGCTGGGGAAATGTAAACGGTAAATATATGCAATATATCATGCTATCACACAAAAACTGGTTACCAATGGGACTAGGTGGTTGTCAGGACCCAAAGAAATCTGGAAAACAAGTCTTTTTCTCACCTAGAATGAGGCCTGCCAACCTTCCCCTCACCTCTTCTCTTTCCCCTTCAAGCTACAATCAGATTAAATGAAAGTCAGTCAATTCATTCTTTGCACTTGTAATTCCAAGGGTCACCTAACAATGTATATTGACTAAAGCTCTCTTATATCAGCTTTTCAAGAGATGTAGCCTTTTACTTTTGGCAGGAGGTGGGGCTTGACTCATCTTGTTGCCTACCTCCTTCAATTGTACTCACCCGTGGTTCTGTTATCTCTTTCCTGAGCTGCTAAGCCTGAAGATCCAAGGCCTTGTCACCTCTTATTTTTCTCTACTTCATCAAACCCCTACTGCCAAGGTTATCTCCTTTTCTACCTATGATCATCCATGAATGTCTGTACAGGTCACAGTTTTCTTGAGTGAACTCCTTATTTTTAAAAAAAATTTCTTTGTTTTATTTCATTTTTGCATGGAAGAACTGGGGTACAGGCCAGTGGTGCAGGGCGTGAGAGGATTCACCAGAGACAGAATGGGGAGCAGAACATACAGGCTTATTGAAATAGACTGCTGAGGGGAGCAGCAGGCAGGACAAGAGAGGTCTGCTGTGCATTGTGGGGGTCAGCTTCCTGGCCAGGGAATGAATTCAGGCTGTAGTGGTGACAGTGCTGAGTCTTAACCCCTAGGCACCAGGGAAGCCCCATAATCTTACTTTCAAGATCCTCTGTATCTATGTATGTAATTCTACCTTCATTACACTCACTCAAAAGTTGTGATTCTCATTGCTGGTTGCTCAGCTCTAAGAGTCCAGCCATCTTCTTGAGTAAGTCTTTCACAGTTAGGGCTTTTAGGAGAAAGTGCAATATTTGTTTAAAGTTTTCTGTCACAATATTCCTTTAAAAATTGTTCCCTGTTGCACCATGAATGCAACAACTGCTATTCATTCATGCTGCCTTATAACTGGGTATTGCTTTATTTTTGATGGTTGATACCTTGTACGGGAAGGTCAAACATAGCACTTGTCAAGGGCACAATGTCACCTCAGTTTTAATAGATTCAAGGATGTATTTTTATCTGCTTTAGCAGTAGAGATGATTGAAACTTACTAATTAAAACTACATTCACCTTTTAATAAGTACTTTACCTGTCAATGGGCACAGGTGGATGGTATGGTTTGTTGACCTTGGCATACAGGCCCTCTAAGGGGTCTCTTTCTGGAGACAGTGGATGGCCATCCCGTGGGTAGCTCAGGGGTACAGCCCTGGGGGGAGATGGTGTCCTGTAGACAATTGCCGGTGTGCAAGGTTCCCGGAAGTGGTTCACTCTGGCGTAATTGGGGTCCATTTCATCATCATCCATATCATGCAGTGATCCAACTGTCCCAGTGGCATAATCAACAAGACCTCTTGCCTGCTTTTCCCTTAGCTCCTGATGTTTTGCTCCAATCCTGCAAAATGAATGGGTAACAGAAATGTATGTGGTTTTGTACACTAATAAAATGATAAATTCCACTGAATCTACCTTAACTCTTCCTAGTCAGTCACTTAGTTGTTATTGTTCTGCCTACTTAAGATCATACCATGCAAAGAATGCCAACAACATATTCCACAAGATTAATTTTATGTCTCTGACCTTTATTTGCTACAGGGAATTTACTTTTAGAGCAATGCCCTGTGCATTTTGACATTTGTTCATTGATGACTGAGATGATTGCACAGTTAGGAGCTGATTTTCATAACACTGCTTCCCTTCAAATGGGATATGCACGTGGGAAGGGCACATCTTTGATGTGATCAGATGGAAGTTTTCCTTAGGAGAGAATGCATGCTAAAGAGTTCATCTGAATTTTATATCTTATTGATTATGTTACTATGTGGTGCCATAGAATTCCAGTATATTTGTTCTTTTAAAGAAAAGAGCTTGCAAAAATGGATTTAAATATGACAAAAGAAATACAAAGGCCTTCTGGTCACTAAAAGCAGTGGGATCAGAAGTAATTTATACGCGATGCTAAGACTTTTGGTAACACAAATGGGAATCATTGTGTCTCATTATATAGGAGCTAGGGACAGGGTAAAATAGTGAAGAAATTAATAGGCTCCTGACAGAGATGAATTGGCGCATATAAGTGAATTAAACACCATTACTGGCAGAATTCCACAGTGCTGAAGTCTTAAGTGATATTACAAAATGCTACTGCTCATCAGTGTACTATGTAGACTACTGGGAATGGGAGCAGAAAAATATACTTAGATGAATTCCAAATCCATCTGAATTTTGAGATTTGACATTCAATCTGCAAAGTGTTAGATTAGCCCTCTGAAATTCCCAGTTATGTGTTAAAATGGAAAGGTCACTGTGGCATCTAATTATTGCACAATGGTGGTCTGATTGTGTTGTGAGGTGCCAGCACTAATGAGGAAAAGAATGTAATCGTACACCACCAGCAAACAAGGTGCAGTGTGCACCGGATGAGACAAGTAAGATGATGTGGTTCAGGAGGCTGAAGAAAGACTCAAGAAAGGATGGGGACAAACCCAAAAGCCTGGGCTCAGAGAATCCAAGCAGGCGATGGGATAAAAGCAAAAGAATTCTATATGCCTGTCTATATGACTGGAGACCAGTATAGACGACCTGGATGAGTGAAAAAACAAAAACTGGGGCTCCCTAGTGGTGCAGTTAAAGTATAGCTCTACAAAGCTATCCACAGCCACTGCAGTGGGAGCTCGATCCCCATCCAGGGAGGTGACCCACATGGCGCAGCAGACTTCTCCTGACCCGCCCGCTGCTCCCTTCAGCAGGGTACTTTGTCGATCTTCCTGTTCTGCTCCCCACTCTGTCTCTGGTGAATCTTCTCGCTGCTTGTATACATCTGACCTGTACCCCAGTTCTGTATGCAAAAATAAATAAATTATTAAAAAAAAAAAAACCCAAACTGAACTCTCCAGTATCTTCTCCTTTTCAAACAAAAACAGCTGGTTTTGCACATGGCAGTTTGATTTTACAGAATATCAAAATCTATAAAAATTCTTAAAATCCATGCTCATTCAAGGTATTTTGTTTTACTACAACACTTTTTTTTGGGGGGAGGGGGTGTTGTTCAGTAAAGAGAAAGAAAAAATAAAAAAGAGAGGGAAGAGAAAACCAAACCAAATCAAAAAGACAGAAAAGACACATGACAAAAAAGCCCAGCATCTATCCTCAAGTCACAAGAGATGAAAATAAATGAAAAGAAAAGAAATAAGTGAAAACCATGTACCCGGCCCATAAGTAATTAGAAGAGTTATATTTTTGCAAATGGGAGCTTGAATCTCCAAGGGATTTTGAATGACAATGAAAGGAAAATTACACTGTATGGTGCCTGTTAAGAGGCCTTGCCTAGCCACTTTCAATGTATGTCAGTTCTCGATTCATGGGTGTTCGTTCTGAGTCATTTTTTTAAAGATTCATTTATTTATGCATGCAGAACCAGGGTACAGGCCAGAGGCCCAGAGACAGTGAGAAGATTCACCAGAAACAGGGTGGGGAGCAGAACAGGCCGACTGACAAAGTACATGCTGAGGGGAGCAGCAGGCAGGTCAGGAGAGGTCTGCTGCACCATGTGGGTCACCTCCGGGGCAGGCGGGGATAGAGCTCATGCGGAAGCGGCTTTAGATTCTCAGTGCTGTGCTTTAACCCGCTGCACCACCAGGGAGGGCCTGTTCTGAATAATTTTTGATAAAGAAGGTAACCTACTCTATTCTGCAATAAAACAACCTTCTCAGGTACAGAGCCGACTGGATTATCAGAGAGCACTTGCTGCTGCAAGATGACAGGGATGGATTTCCACTGCCAATAGAACACAGGACATCGGTAATGTTAGAGGGCGCGATTTGTGTGGTTACTACCCCTCCCACATGCGATGCCTTTAAGAGAAATCTCTCAGCAGGAAGGTGAATCTCTTGGTTGCTACACGGGGCTAACCTTGTGGCAGCAAAATGAAAGCAAAGCATTGAACTTCATTTTTTAAATCACAGAAATAGAACATTAGTATGTATGTGTGTTCCTTATTTCATCACTTCTCTTTCTTGGAGGTTTTCCTCATTAATTAAGCTTGCTGAGTATGGAAAGATTTTTGGATAAAAAAATACTTTGCATAAGCAAAGCAGTATTTTTTATCTTGCATTTTTTCTTTCTAAAACAAAACCAAATTTCCCCCAATCTCTCTGCATCACTGAGTAACTACTTTCATATTAATCACTCAGTAGAAGAAATAGTAATTTCTCCAAACCATCATTGTTGTGTCATACATTAGGGTCTCTCTCTGTGGGGCAGGTGAGCCAATCTCTGAAAAGGGTATATGGAGGCAGAAGAGATTCTCTTAAGAGAGAAGCATCAGGGTAGAAATTTTTTTTCTTTTTGGTAGAGCTGACCTCCCTCTGCTCCAGTTCAGTGTGAGAATTCTAATTGTTTATAGTGTCCACTTAGAAACTTAGAAGTCTCGTCACCACTGGGAACTCAACTTGCTATAAGTGTGTGTTTTTCAAAATGGCCTTTACAACACATCCTTATTAGATGACCCTACCTGTTTGTTTATTCTTCCCAGTGCACTGCCTGTGAATTGTTTCTATCTTCTCTCTCGCTCTATGAAAACATTGCTTCTTTTCTCATTACATCTCTTAAATATCTTCTTTTATTTCCATTTCATTAGCCACAATCTGGGGTTAAGACTTTAGATTTCCTTGGTCTGCACTGTCCATTATGGTCATAATTAGCCATATGATGTTATGCACATTCCAATATGAATTATTTACAATGATATACAATTTTAAATTCAGTTTTCCTATCTTGTGAGTCGTATATTAAGTGCTCTACAGCCACATGTGACAGCCACATGTGACTTGTGACTTGTGACACTAAATTGGGCAGTGCAGATATAGATTAATTCCAATACTCTGAAAAGGTCTATTGGACTCTGCTGACCTACATTATTCTACAAGTTTTTGGTAGGTGATCTAGTTCTACATTAATCCATCCCTTAAGAGACTGCTAGAGTAACTTTCCTCACAGAGCATACTCTGTTAGATTAAGGATCTTTAAATAGGAGATTGTAATTCATGATAGAAAGAGAGTATGGTGACTCTATTTCCATCCCTGAAACTCTAGGTGGACAAAACCTTGAGAAATTGAGAATACAATTCCATGGATTATGCAATTATAAAATAACCATAACCTTATATATGAAATTAAATTTTTATATCAGTATATCAAGGATTAATACATGCCAACATTTCTAGCAGTGTATACACTGCAGAAAGAAGGGAGGAGAGAGAAGAAAGAGAGAGAAAAAGAGACAGACTGATTTCAGACAATGGAACTTTACTTTGAAAGATTGTCTGTAAACAGGTGTAGGGCATTAGAGTTGCAGGGTCAATGAAGTTCCAACCTCAGAATGGAAGAAATTAGGAACAGAAGAGACATTTCCCCCGAAAGAAAATGGGGTGAAAAGAAAGGAGGCACCAACTTGCTTTGCAGCTGACAGGTAGAATTAGCAGAGCAGAGATAAACAAGGAAAAGTTTATTACAATAAATCCATAATGTAAGACTTCACTAAGCCAGTTGGCCTCTTGTCTGCAGTGCAAGTTTTTGCATGAGAGAACACATGGAATTAAAGTTGACTACATAATGATGTCAGATCACTTTGTCCAGGTCATCCAACACTATGACCAAGTTAAAAAAATTAAACATTAGTACATGAAATTTATTTATTTGATAGATCAAAACAAACACATAAAACACCAAGACAAAAGAAAGAAAGAAAGAAAGAAAGAAAGAAAGAAAGAAAGAAAGAAAGAAAGAAAGAAAGAAAGAAAGAAAGAAAGAAAGAAAATGTTAGGATTTATTGCATTAGTAAGAACAATACTTTTTCTTCTTATTGTTACTAATGCACCAGTCTTAACATTAAGAATAAGTAAGAAAAATTTAGTCATCTACAAATTCAGGCAAATTCAGGCTAATCTCAAACATAAATAACGATAAAAGAAAAAACATTCCCGAGCATATAAAAATTCAAGGGACTATAGCACTCAGTCACTCATGTTGAAAAAATATTTAATGGAAAGTAGTCAAAGCCAACCAAGAAAATAATCAAAATGAGGAACTCAGCCTGTTAAAGTTCTAGAATGACAGGTCTGTAGGTAGGCAATGCATTGATTTAAACAGAAAACTAAGGCTAAGCCATTGCAGGAACAATAATTACAGGAAAAAAAAAAAACATCAACTCAAACAATATAAAAATACCACTACTAATAAAAATCAGAAGCCAATAGAGAGGTGAATTAGAAAATGTTAACACTCAACTCTATTTCAATTTTCTCAACTTTGAAAAAATTGAAGTAGTTACTATTTAAAATGGAAAAACTAAGAATAGAGGTCATAGTATATTCAATATAAATACAAAAGAAACTC